TTCTTTAATTAATATTTATACATTGAGATTAAAATTCTGATACTAATTAAGAATTCATTCTCTCTCATCTCATTAATTATCTTTAATTCATTCATTCTCTCTCTTTCTTCTATAGAGAATTGACGCCTCCTCTTCCTTTGCTTCTTCTTTCTCACTCTCCCGTCCCCTTCTCATCCCCAAAGCCACCCTCACCACCACCACTCCAACCCCTATCCTACCTAAACCACAAATCCCAGGGACTCTCTCTCTCCCCTTCCTCTCCGGCAACTCTATCGCACACCTAGGGCCAGTCAACACCTACAAAGCCATCGTATAACCCAGATTTATCCCCAGCACAGCCACTCTCTCTTTGACCCCGTCAATCGCTAGCCCACCCCACCCGGCCCTGTCTATTCTTCTATGTCTGAAATTGATTTTCTTGACGTGCTTCCTGAGGTGCTGAGGCACTCTTTGCCCTCGTAGATTTTCCACCAACCCTCTGCAATATCTTATTTCTGAGTGATATATCATTATACTAGTCAACCGCATTTCACATATAATTGGTCTTACTAATTAACAACCTTTTATGCATCTACAACTGTCATTTATGTGCCCTCAATTTGTTCTTCTTTGGATAATATACGGGGAACCTATTGTTAAATTCTCAATTTTTTACGTTGTGTTTCTATTCCTGTGCTTCAGTTCTTGTGGTGGTTGTTGGATGTGGCTCAAATTGCACCCACGTGTGTTGATGGTGTCTTCATGATGACTGCCACACTAGCCATCACATGGCCAAAGGAAGAATTGTGTCAGCCGACCAAATATTGTGGGTGGATGCTGTCAAGTGGTGGCAGCAGCTTTGTAGGAGAATAACAACCTTGCAGAGCCTTTGCAGAGGAATATTGAAGCTTTGGCAGAAGATGGGAGCACGTGGGAGACAAAAGCCATGCAAACTTGGCTGGCTTTCTGACTTCATAGTTGGCCTCATAATTTGACTAGCTGGCCTTCACCCGTTGGCTTCTCTATAAATTGAGAAGCATGGCAGCAGCTGAAGAAAAGGAGTAGAGGGAGAGAAACAGCAAGAAGTCATTCGGCAGAGAGAAGAAAATTCTCTCAAGTTGTCTTTGCTTTGTATTTTAGTTTCTCTTCCTATTGTAAATGTGTGAGCTTGGGTTATTTGGGTCTTTGGGAAATTGAGTGATAAACACTGTTGTATGTTCTCATTGATTATAGTGGAATACTCCGTCGTCTCCAAACTGGATGTAGGCATTGCCGAACCAGTATAAATCTTGGTGTTCTTGTTGGTGTTGTTTGTGTTCATTTTATCTCCTGCTAGTTGTGTTTATTTTCACTCGCACTTGGTTGACGCTTCCGCACAACAATGAGATGAGAGAAAATGAATTCTTAATTAATATCAGAATTTTAATCTCAATGTATAAATATTAATTAAAGAGAAAAATATTATTTTGTCATGTTAGGTTTAATCTCAACCATTGAAAGTAGAGTAATCTAATGACCCAAAAATTGTGTCAAAACTTGTGTCAAAAATATGGTGCCATATATATATATAGGTATACTAGTGATTTACCCCTTAAACTTGTACCTAATTTTCGATTTGCCCCCTATCTATTTTTTTAAAGAAAATTAAGGACCTCAATTATTATTTTTAGTCAATTTTCCCTCTACCCTTAGATTCACTCACATTTCATCCAATTAGTGTTAAGAATGGTCACATGCCTAATTAATTATAAAATAATGTTATAAAACAATAAAGAAAAAAAAAATGAAAACAAAAACATTTCCTAGCCCCATCTTGCTCCCACCAATCCCTAGCCTCCCTCACCGTCATCCCCTAACCAACCCACCATACTCTCTCCCTCTCTCTCAACACAACAAGCACAAAATACACAAATTTACTTGCCCTTCAAGGCCAATCAAGAGCCACCATTCTCTACTCTTACTATTATTGCGCAGGCTTTTTTTATTTCCTTGTTTAATTTACTAAAAATAGAGAAACCATGCCTTCCACTGTTGCAGAAAGGGGGAGGTGAGGGGAGGGGTCTATGGGGTGGGGGATTGGTCTGGGAGTGGAGGGTGGTGGTCATGGGAAAATGGGAGGAGAAGAAAAACCTTGAGAAGAGGTAGGTTGGGCTGGGTTCGGGGGATGAAAAATACAGAAGGGGGAAGTGGTGAGGGTGTTTGGGTCAGCTGTTTTGGGAAGTGGATGTTGCTGCTCTTTTGATAGCAGAGCACTCTCCATTGTGTCCAAGGCCATGACTGCTGCTCTCTGTAGGAAGTTCCATTGCTGGGGCACTGGCTCTGAGGATTTAGAAGAAATTTGGGACTTTTGGGTTGTGTTTTCTTTTGGGTTGGAAGTGGTGGAGGGAGTGAAAAGGGTGGTTGATGAAGATGAGAAAGGCTACTGATATTAGGCTTGGAAAATGGGTCGGGCCGGGCTAGCTCGGCCCTAAGAAGTGTGAGCCCAAGCCCTATCTTTGATGGGCTTTTTTGGCCCTAGACAACTATTGGGCTGGGCCGGGCCAGCCCTCTATGAAATATACAAAGCTCAGGCCCTACCCACGGGCCAAACTCTTTCGGACTTTCAAGACGGGCCTATATGGCCCTTGTCTGTATTAATATATATAACATTAATAAATCTTGAAATCAATATAATATTTAGAGATTTTAAATGCCAATTAAAGCATTTACCAAAAATCTCAACTAAAAATTCAGTTAAAATCCAAATGGGGCTTTCAGCAACCCCAATAAGAATTTCAAATGGAATGCCGATGTAAAGAAACATAGGTAAAGTAAAGCTATTTATAAAGGAAAAAACAATTGTGTTGGTGTGTGAAGTTGATGTGGGACATAAATAGACACCCACCCCCACTTACTCTTTCTTTTTCTTCCTTCCCAGCCTCCTCCACTTTATCTTTCTGCTTTTGCTCCTTTTGTTTTGTTTGAACTTTGAAGTATTGACCAATCCCACATCATTTTCTTAAGGCAACCTCCCATTTTTTATCCATTATAAAAGGCTTCCAAATATCAATATTATTGCTCACAAAATATCATTAAATATAAGTTAATTAATTATATTGGGCCGGGTCGGGCTTTTCAAGGGCCTCAAAACAAAGCCCAAGCCCTGCTCATTAGTTGTCGGGCCAGGCTAAGCCCGCCCAATGTGTCGGGCCGGGTTCAGGCTGGCCCATCGGGCTTGGGCTTTATTTCTAGGCCTAACTGATATGAAGTGGTGTGTTTGGGGATTTGGAGAAGGGAGGAGGCTTGGAGAGAGCAAGTGAGTGTGTTTGGGGTTGATTTTCTGTGAATGGGTTTTCTGCTGAAGAAAATTGAGCTTGAGGAGAAGAGGGGGAAAAACCCAATTGGTTTGTAGCTAAATTTGATGAGTTTGTAAAAGAAAGGTGGTGTCTTCTAGTAGTAACAGGCTTAACCCATGTGCCTGTTGTTGCTGCAGCAGTGGAAGGCAGATTGGAGCAACATTTGGAGCTTCTGGGCAACTAGACCCTCTACGACAAATTACCAGAGAGAGAGAGAGCGTTTATTTCAATTTTCTGTTTTTTATTTTATTTTTCATTTTTTATTTATTTTTAATGTACAAAATGACCACTTTATCCTCATATTTAACTGCAAATTGGATGAAATGTTGCGGATTTAGACGTAGAGAGAGAGAGCGTTTATTTCAATTTTCTGTTTTTTATTTTATTTTTCATTTATTTATTTATTTTTAATGTACAAAATGACCACTTTATCCTCATATTTAACTGCAAATTGGATGAAATGTTGCGGATTTAGACGGTAGGGGGGAAATTGGCAAAAAAAAAGAGTTCATATCCTTAATTTTCTATAATAAAAAAAGGATAGGGGGTTAATTGAAAGCTAGGTACAAGTTTAGTTTGAGTCTTATATATATAAGAAAATTAAAGACTCAAACTAAATTTTATTCTCAATTTCCCCCCGCCTTCTAAATTCTCAACATTTCATCTAGGTAAATAATTAAAAAAAAAAAAAAAATTTGGGAAAAAATTAAAGAAAATAGAAAAAAAAAAACCTCCCCATAGTCGACACCTTTCTTCCCCACCATCGCTATCACACCTCTCCTCACCATATTAGTACCTAATCGACCTTTGACCCAATCCTAGACCCAAGACCACCCCTTCCCCATCACCGCCTCCCCTCTTAGCAGCCCATCCTCCCACAGCCACCCTATTCTTTCTCTCCCCCCTAAAAATTTACTTTACACACCCGATCATCATAGCCAACCCCTCATCTCACCGACCCAAAACAACTCCTCCCCATCCCCCAGCTCAGCCACTCCAATCCTCGATTGAAATCACATCAGCCAGTCATCCAAAAAACAAAAAAGAAAACCCTATCCCTACCCACAAACCCAAACCCATTCGCGCCCCCTCCCCTTTGATTTTTTGTATCCCCCACAGCCTTTAAGGTCCAGACCTATTTGCCTCACAAGTTCATTGCCTCCTCAACCAAAATCTCGACCCCAAATTGCATAACCCATCAATGGATTCAAGATATGAATAAATAGGGCTATTTGGAGGTGGGGGCTGATGAGTTTAGTCGGAGAGAGAGAGAGAGAGAGAGAGAGAGAGAGAGAGAGAGAGGGAAGAAGGGGTCTGGTCACAGAGAGAGGGAAGAAATGGTGGGTAGGTCCCACCCCTATGTTTATTAAAATGATTTTTTATTCATTTTATATGTCATATCATTTTATTTTATAGTATTTAATTATTTTTAACATATGAAATGACCAAGTTGCCCTCATATTTAACGGCAAATTGGATGGAATGTTGAGAATTTGGATGGCAGGGGAGAAATTGAGAATAAAATTTAGTTTGAGTCCTTAATTTTCTGGAAAAAAAAGGTCAGAGTTAAATTGATAATTAGGTACAAGTTCAAGGGGCAATTCGGCGAAATACCTAAACTAAGGCATGCTTACTTACCTAGAAAGGGAATGAAAGGAATGAGAGTCATTCCCATTCCTGATCAATCCTTTCTTTACTTGCAATGGGAATGAAAAGTGACGCGGGATCATGACCCTAAATCATGACTTTGATTCTTGACATAGGGGCATTCTGGATGGGGGAAGTGATATTGGGCATGGGTGAATCGGAATGGACATTTTTCTACCTAAATTATCCTCATATATTTTGTGAAAACACTAAAAAATGTGCTGGGCTTGTTTTGGGTTTTTTTGTTTTGAGTTTTTTGTGTTGGGCTTGTTTTAAGTTAATCAATAGTAGAGATGTAATTTATAGGAACTTCAACACTCCTTTCTTATTAATAAATAGTTTTTGAATAGGTTTCTAAAGTGCATTCCATATGGTCCCAGCAATGACTTCAATGGACATTCTCAACGGCGAGATTGGATGTTTTGAAAATCCACGCAAGCAAAGTGAAAATGTCAGAGTCTGTTGATTTGTCCAGCTATGCACAGAACTTACCTGGTATGCATCCGTCTTTGCTGTTCCATATAATTTGGTATTTGGATGACTAAACATTTGATAATTATTAGGATGGACGGGAGCAAAGTTGGCTCAGCTGGTCCAAGAGGCTGCACTTGTAGCGGTGAGGAAGGGGCATGAGTCAATTCGTCAGTCGGACTTGGATGATGCAGTTGATAGACTTACTGTAGGACCAAAACGGGTTGGAATAGAGTTAGGTCATCAGGGACAATGTCGTCGAGCCACTACTGAAGTTGGAGTTGCAATAACTTCTCATCTGCTTAGGCAATATGAGAATGCAGAAGTTGAATGCTGTGATCGTATCTCAATCATCCCTCGTGGTCAGGTGCTCTTTCTGCTTCTTTATCTTCTTTTTTGCCCATAGGCTGATTTGTAAGTTGTTGCTCTTATATGTTTTCAACACTTTCTGATGGATTAACAGTTGTGTGGTTCATTACATACTTAAAAGATGAAAAATTAATTTTACTTAAAACTTGTCTTTTTAAATTAATTTCACTGTTCATTTGCACGTAATGACTAATTTGATATAACTATAATAGTATTATGACCAAAAAAGATATAACTATAATAGTAGTATTTGACTCTGGAGTCATCTTTCCTATCACTTGTTACTTATGGAGTGATTTGTTCAGACATTATCGCAAGTTGTATTTCATCGACTTGATGATGAATCATACATGTTTGAGCGCCGGCCACAATTGCTGCATCGCCTTCAGGTTAGCTTTTTTATTGTTTATGGTTTCCTTTTAACTGTATCCTATTCATTAATTTTGATTTTTTTTTTCTTTCCCCATGCAGGTTTTACTTGGAGGGAGGGCCGCTGAAGAGGTCATATATGGACGGGACACATCAAGGGCTTCAGTTGACTACCTTGCTGATGCATCTTGGCTTGCTCGTAAAATTTTAACCATGTTAGGCCCTTATTCACTACTGTTTTTCTAACTCCCTGCTTTATGTGATGTTGTAATGAACTGATTGTTCACTCCTTACAGTTGGAATTTGGAGAATCCAATGGTCATACACGGAGAGCCACCACCTTGGAGGAAGAAAGTTCAATTTGTAGGCCCTCGGCTGGACTTTGAGGG